GTTAGAAAAAAAAATCATATGGGGAAAAAAATCATCCCTAGCAGGGCAGAGAGATGGTAGTGAAAGTCCTAAGTTGTAAGAAAGCGGTGATTCTGATGAACTGAGTCCCACACTATCATCCGCATGCTTCTTCTGATGCAAGCAAGTAGTAAGTATTGAAGTGGTATCATGATTTACTAGAAATCACATGTCATAAGTTCAGTTTAAAACAAAAAAGGAAGTTCAGGCTAAGCAAATCTTGGGTCAACAGATGGCTTATGTAAATATGTAGGTTAGGTGTTACTGAGAAACTGCAGCCTCGAATAGACAGACTACAGCCATCAGATCTGCAGCTTTTCTTTCTTTCAAAGCAAAACCTCCAAGCAGGTGGGAAGAGTAAACAGCAGTCACAACCCAAGATGGTGCAAATAAACAAATAGCAGACAGTCACCTATCTGGCATGATTTCAGAAGCACATGCGCACACACAAAACATTCCTCCCACTTCCTTCCACTTAAAAAAAATTGAGAGTTTTTTGAAACTTGCCTTGTTTCTACCAAAGTACAAATACACATAGTATGAACTGAATTTACTTGACCCCTTTGTAGAAGGAGAAAATCTCAGGCACAACGTAGGAAAGATTTAGAGGCAAATCATTTTTCTTTTTAACCATATATTTTCACATATACTGTTTATGTCACCATTTTCAAGAGATTGTATTGAAAATGAAGTATCCCCATCTTTCATACCTCACCTTCCTGTAGCCCTCATGTGTGCACTAGCCATGATGGCTTTCCTTCTAGTCCTTGACGTGAAGCTCATACTTATCACAGAGTCTTGGTACTTCCCGTTTCCTTCACTTTTTTGCTCTCCTGGCCTATAAGCAGATGGGCTTCTGGTCGCTGATTGCTCCTCAGCCCAGAATTCACCTCCACAGTTAGGTCTTACCTGGCCACCCCACCTGCAAGTGCACACCACCAATTCTGTCTATCCTCTGACGCTAATTTTTTTCCTTCCTTTGCACTTCCCACTTTCCTCCTCACACTTTTGGTATTTAATATGCAAGCTCTACTTATGAATTCACTCATTCATTCAACAAACACTTACTGAGCATCTCACATACGACAGGCAATGTTCTAGGTACCTGCGATTTGGCAGCGAATGAAACACCAAGTTCCCCACCTTCACGGAGGTTACATCCTAGTGGTGGGGTAGAAGGTGTTCCTATGATAAACATAGTAAGTGAGGAAATACATATTAGAAGGTAGCAATGCTTTAAAGGAAAGAAAAGGCCAGGGCAGGTTAAGGAGGAACAGGAGTGTCAGTGTGTGGGGGTAGAAGCAGATTGCCATATTTAATAGAATCAGCGTAGACCTCCAAGAAAAGGTGGAATTTGAGAAAAGAATTGAAGGAATGTTAAGAATGTTAGGCATGCAGGTATCCGATAGAAGAACATTCTAGGCAGGGGGAAATCACTAACACAAAGACCTAAAGCAGAAGCATGCATAACACGTTACAGGAACAGCAAGAACATCATCATGGTTAGAGCTGAAAAACTGAAGAGGAGAGAAGAGGAGAGAAGATCCTAGAGTCAGTGGGGGCCAAGTGCATAGAGATCCTTTTACTCTAAGTGAAACCAAGAGCATGGAGGGCTTGGAGCAGAGACATGGGATGATTTGACTAACGGTTTAAAGGACAACTCTGCCCTCTGAGTTGAAACAAGACTACAGAGAAGCAAGGTAAGAATAAGGCCGTACATACAGGAACATCATTGCATGTTGGGCCCTTGTAATATAGCAAGTGTTTGCTGAATGAATAATATATGAATGAATGAAATATGGAGGCTGAAAAATAAAAGGCACAGAGATCCTCACAAGGATGAAGTAAAAAGTGATATGTCTTCATATCTTTGGGACTCAGACATAGTACAAATCACATCTTGGAATTATGTGTGTATGAATGTGTGTCTATGTCTATGAATATAAATACATATAAATATTTACTGCTTGTCCTTTGTGTGTAAAGAACTTTTAATTTTGACAAATACCTTCACCTAATTCATGCTACATGTATAAGTGTATGCATGATGTCATGTTCATTAATGCCAAGCTACTATGATAAGGCTACTTTCATTTCCTTGAAAAGTAGCACATTTTCATACTGCTTAAACGAGGTGGGTTTTTTAAAATTCTGAGCTTTATGGAAGAAGTCTGTTCTCCAGAATAAAGGTCATGGTTTCAATTCCCATTTAGGCATGCTAGCTTTAAAAGAGGAAAAAAAAGTTTCCACAGCCACAGTTTCTTTCTCTACCCTGTCAAACTTACTTGTGAAGACTTTGGGCACAAGAAAGGGATATGAGAGTAAATCTGGAAAGCCCTATACAAATTCATCTCAGAGAAAAAGAAAGGACAGATGGCATATTGGCAGTAGACTCATCTATGAAAGGCAGCAGGCATTTAAATTTTTTTATTTTTAAACGTGCCAACATAGTTTCAATATTATCAATTTCAAGGCTGGGCAATTTTAAGCTTTGCAGAAATTCTCTCATTCATCTGGTCATTCACAGATATTTATCAAGCACTTACTATCTTCCTGGCACTGGCAATACAAAGTTGAGCAGGACAGTATATTAACCTGTACAATCTAATGCCTACATTCTCAACTGGGGTGATGTCATTCTCAAGGAGAAAAAATTTGTTTTTGGTTGAAATGAAAAAGCTTACTCTTTTTACATATAAAACAGATATATGTGCAGTACATAAACAGACACACAGTATATCTGGGTTAATAACATTTCATGGAGAGAGATGATTAGGAAAAAATGTCTAAAAAGACTCCCTAGGAAGGCAATAACAGTCACAAAAAGATTGAGAAGCACTTGTCTATTGGCAAGGACATAAACAAATGATTATAAAGAAATATGGTAACTACAGAGATAGGGAAAGTGCAGAATGTTGTGGCTCTGCATACCAGGAGCACCTAACTTGGTATGGAAGGAGAGGTCAAGAAGGCTTCCTGGAAGAGGCCACACTTAAGCAGAGATGTAAAGGATCAATCACCAGTTTCCTATAAAATGAGAACAATGCTAATGCCTAATAGGATTTTTGAGCATTTAATGATGCAATGCATGTAGAGCACTTGAAAGACTTTGGTATATTAGAAATTATTACAATAGTTGCTATACAGGCTGTGAATTCCTGCTGAGATATGCCTACCACCCAGCTCAACGCATTTCATTTCCTCACTGTAACTGTAACTTGCTTTTTTTCTTCATTTCCAGTGGCCGAATTCCTACCAACTTACAAAGCTCAGATAAAATGCCACAATCACCACAAAGTTTCTACTGGTTTTAACTTCTAGAAAAGCCATTTTCCTCCTCTAAACAACTATTAGTACATTGTTTAGACTATTAATCAGTTACTATCTTATAAGGTAATTTCATGTACCTGTTTTGCATACTCCACTAGATTATAAATTTATTTAAAGAAGTACTAGCCTGTAGAAATGCAATTGAGACACATATACATAATTTAACATATTCTAGTAGCCACATTAAAAAAAAGTTTTTAAAAAAAGGTGACATTAATTTTAATAATACATTTTTATTTAATTTGATATAACCAAAACATTACAAATTTGCAATGTAATCAATATAAATAAATTATTAATGAGGTAGTTTGTATACTTTCTGCACTGAGTCTTTGAAATCCAGTGTGTATCTCAATTCAGACTAGGCATATTTCAAGAGCTCAGTATGCACATGTTATTGTTTTGTTTTGTTTTGTTCTGTTTTTGCAGCTGGCCTGTAAAGGGATCTGAATGCTTGACCTTGATGTTATAACATCGTGCTCTAACCAACTGAGCTAACCACTCAACCCCAGTATCCACATGTGGCTACCACTCAAGACAATGCAGATTTAGGCCATTTATTATCCTCTACTGGTTTGTATTGATCACGACGGCTAGCATAGCACATTGCCTATTTCAGAAGTTTAATTAATATTGGTTAAATTAGTCACTTACTGTATTGATTTATTTAAAATCAGTACAAAATCTAATCCCATGGAAAATACATTTCTACTATTCATAATACAAAAAGTAAAAAGATGGAAAAATAATTAAAGAAAAAGAAGTTTGTTCTTTCACAGAGGTGATAAAATGAAATTTTCAGTTATACATCTTATTAAGAATATAGTTTAGATGTACTAAGTTCTGGATCACTGAAATAAATTGTATATATAGCATATAAAATGTATTTATTTGTGCCTTTGACATGTTTGGAGGAGTAACTCAGTTCTACTTTCTGATAAGAGTAAGAATTTTTTTTTTTTTTTTTTTTTCCTTTCTGCTTTTTTCGTGACCGGCAACGGATCGCAACCCTCAGTGTCGCGCCCGCACCGGACCGGGACCAGCAACGGGATCGCAACCCTCGGTGTTGCTCCAGCACCTCACTCAGCCAGTGAGCGGCCAGTCTGTATGTGGGATCCGAACCCTCAGCGAGAGCGCCACCGCGCTTCCCAAGCGGCGCACTGTAGCAGTGTGCCACCGGGCCGGCCCCAGAGTAAGAATTTTTGATAAGACTAATTAACTCATGTATCAAACAGGCAGAATTTGGTAGATCTCAGTGAAGATATTTTTATGTCATTTTCCTGTTCACCACGATTTTTCCTTAAAGTAATATGCTCTGAAACGTATTCTATGTTTTCATAAATGATTTCTCAGCTAATCAGGTGCAGTTACAGAAAATGAACAATGTTATTTTCATAGTCATTAATGACGTACTGTGAGGACCAGATCAACTTGAATTGCTCTTATTAGAAAAGCTGATATGAAGAAAAAGAAATAGAAATCCTGATATGTATTACAGCACTCTAAAATTGGGCCTACTTACTCTTTACTTATCAACTTTATTCTTGCCTCTTCTTTTAACCTTATGCATCCATATGCCTGCAGAACTGATTGTGGTAGAGAATTATAAAGAATTAACAAAATATGGTAATTAGGAAAATAAAATAACTCACCTTTGGCAATCTCAACGGTAACTTGCAAATTGGCAACTGATAATGGTTTTCATTAAATATAGGAGATTGATCCAAGTTGGGGACTATCTTTTCTTTAGGTACTTTATAAACTACAATGGTGCCCTTATAATGGGGGCAGCTATAGTTTCCAAATTCATCCACCTCTTTGATTTGGAGTTCCAGCCTGGGTTTTCTTTGCAAGTGAAAAATAAGTTTGTAGTCTTTTTCATAGTCCTTCCCATTGCCTAAATAGAAGTAAAATGCATTTGTTACTATTAAGACACATCACTTTGTCGTAATTTTTAAAAATTCAAATGATTGTTTCATTTGTTAAGTACAATTAAGGCTTTTTGTGTGTGTTTTGTCAAAACATAACCTGACAAAGCAGCAACTGGCTGAGACCATAGATTACTCATCTGAAAAAGATTTCTCATCTGTAATTGAGCCAGATGCTCTGGCTGCTTCCTTCATTTTCTTTTCTCTTCCATTTTGCTGTAACAAGAAACTATTAGGTCTTTAAGTACTTAGAAAATTATTTTCACCTTTCAAGAATTATCTTTTTACTTTCTCTTAACTATTCATATCACTATTGTACACTATTATGACCTCAAAATAAATATTCTAGAACTGCACTCTCCTATAACATGTGGCTATTTAAGTAAAAATTAATTAACATTATATAGTATTAAAAACTAAACTCCTCAGTCACTCTAACTACATTTAAAATGCTCAATAGCCACATATGTCTAGTGGCTACCTCATTGAACAGTGCAGGTATAAAACATTTCCACAATTGCAGAAATGAACAGTGCTGTTCTAGAACTTTCAACTGGAATAGTTAATGGATTTGTATTATGGAAATTCTAAGAAAACCTGGTAGATTCTCCTAAAACAATGATATTGTAAAAGTCTTCTTTACTCCTCACTGACAATTCTAGAGCTTTTGTGAACATAACCTTTCACTCATGGGGGTTTTAACAATAACATAATAATCAGTATATTTAACATAACAATCAGCATATTTTTCCTTGTTATTGCAACAATAAACTAGACACTGCCATCTTTCCTAAGGCAATATATGCCTGCAGTACCCTTTGTAAAATTTATAGAAAGCTATAGTGTAGCAGTTATGATAATACATTTTGGACGTAAAGATCTAAATTCAAGTCCAGCCTCTATTATTTATCTATATTGTAATATTTATCCAGTTCTTTCATATCTCTGAGCTTCTTGGAGACTTAACTTCCTTATCTTTAAAACAAGAGAAATGAAACTTATTTCCTAGGATTGCTCTGGGTATAAAATTAGATAATATGGATAAAATAATTTCCACAGAGCCTGGCACATAGTATGTGCTCAATAAAAGATAGCAATAATAGCAACTGGTAAGAAAAAAGCAAGATTCTTTCATTATTTTGAGTTTGTATGCCAAAAAACAGCCGAGTTAAATTTTTAAAAGAAATGTCAAGACGAAGTTTTCATATCTAGTTGAAACTTTCTTCTGCTCCTGTTAAGGTGTTGTAAAGTTGACTGCCCAGTGTTTTCTCTCATGGAAAATCTTGCTTGCCCAGTGTTCTCTCTCATGGAAAATCTTACATTTTGCCCAATGAAAGAAGAGTTCAGGGAGAGATGTAAAAGACACCACTATCTTTCTCCCTATAGTGACTGCTAGAGGTCATTTTGGTGAATCTCTAAAGCACAGTTAAATCTAGAAATAGAACAACTCCAGATTATGGAAGGTATAGGAATAGATCCCTTTACTTGAGAGGCAACCTGGCTACTTGAACAAAACTAATTCCTAAAAAAGGAATGACTAATCAGGGGTTGCCTTATAAAAAGAGTCTCACTGTGGTTAAAAAAAAAAAATTACAAATTATTTTGCATCATTAAAATATGATCTAAATAGCAAATTAGGTAAATTAGAGTTTCCAGATCACTGGAGTGACACTTGGCAAGCTTTTCTTTCCATACCACTAGAGTACTATCAAGAAGAATGTCACTACTTTGGTCCCAGTGGAATACCACTTAGGAAATTTCTCCTCTCATCCATTGAAAGGCATTATACTCCCTACCAGGTGCACAATTATTCATATGAAATGATTCATACACAGGATACAAGGATTGAGGGTAAGCATTAGCTACATAGGTTCAATTCAGATCTAAAATTTATCTCCCTATCTCCCTCTTATTGCCAGTCAATTTTTAAAAATAAAGATATGTAATGCAACTCTCTAAGATCACATTTTATATATGAAATAGGGATGAAATTATTGAGGATTTTCTAGTAATAAATAGCATACTCAGTGTTATAAACAGAAAGCATTATGTAAATTTTTAAGGTTTGAGTTTCATTGTCGCTAAAAAAAAAAAAAAAGACCCAAAAAGGACAAGTAGCACAAAGAAATTGCTTTATTTTATTTTATTTTTTCTCCCTCACTGGCACATTTGAAAGAGGAGTAAAAGCAAAAGCCACTCATTGCATACCCAATGTATGAAATCAACCACTAATTTACCTTTTGAGAATTTTTTTCTCCTTCTCAACACATTATGTATAGAGCACCTGAAATCATAACTATTCAATAAATACTTGTCTTTATATGTCAAGAAATCCAGGATTTACTTATATTTTGTGGGTGGGTTACTTGTTTCTTATAGCACTGTAGTTTCTTAATAATAAGTATTGACTATTTTCACTGATGACATAGGAAGTACAAATGTAGGAATAAATGCTTTGGCTTAGAAAAGTCAGATGAAGAAGTGAAAAGGCTAGCAATACAGGGAAGCAAAAAAAAAATCCTGTGAGAACAACAGGCTAAGGGTATTTCTATAATTCTAGCCCATTCTCCACCACCTCTACCTCTAAGCCACCGTCATCTCTTGCTTGGTTTACTGCAATGGCTCATTAACTGGTCTCGCTGCTTTTACTCCTGCTTCTACTGTCAATTCTCAACACAGTGATAACAAAAATCAGATCCTGTCACTCCTCTGTTGAAACCCTTTGTAGCTCTTCATTTCACTTAGCAAAAGAGGCAAAGTCCTTGCGATGACCTCCAAGGCATGATCAGTCTTCACCTCACCTCCTACAACCTCTCAATCCCTCTGATTCAGCCATCCCGGCCTCCTGCTGTTCCTCAAACACACAAGGCATGTTTCTGCCTCAGCTCATTTGCACTTGTAATTCCTCTGCCTGGGACAAACTCCCCTAAAATAAGGTTATGGCTTGTTCTTTCACATTCTTAGAGTCTTTGTTTAAATGTAACCTTCTCAAAAAGGTCTTCCCTGATGACTTTAAATTTGCAACTCTGCTGCTCCCTCCGAGACCCTTTTTATCATTTCCCTGCTTTATTTTTCTATAATGCATTTTTCAGCCTGTGTTAAGCTATAAATTTTTCATTTACTTATTTGCTTACTTTTTTGTTTATTCCCACTACACTATAATACTCCTACAGGGGATTTTTGTTGAATGAATGAATGGATGGTTATACTAGCATCCTACACATGTATCTAGGAAAATCACTTCCCTGGGCCAAAGGACCAAAGGGCAACTTTGAGACACACAAATCTCCACAGGGTGATATTAGATGTTATGCATGATGCTAAGGAGTCATTATATAAAATCTTGTAAAGCACTTCCTTGCAAATCATCATGTTGAAGGGATATCTGCACTCCCATGTTCATTGCAGCTCTGTTTACAATAGTCAAGACATGGAACCAACCTAAATGTCCACCGATGGATGATTGGATAAGGAAACTGCGGTATATGTACACCATGGAATACTACTCTGCCATAAAAAAGAATGAAATACGCCCATTTGCAACAACATGGATGAGCCTGGAGAAACTTATGTTGAGTGAAATAAGCAAAGCTCAGAGGGATAAATACCACATACACTCACTCATATGTGGGATCTAAGAGAGAAAGAAGGAAGGAAAGACCACAGTAGTGCATTGGATTTGAAGAGGGAGAGAACATTCCTTGGGCTACAAAGTGGAGTGGGGGGGGGAGGGAGAGGGAGGTTGGGGGTAATTGGGTGGGGGACACAGGGTACAAATGCAATTTGTGGTAATGGGTATGCTGCCAGTATGACTCTGGCCCTCACATCATGGGCACGAGGGGTGACAATCATCTTCGTATCTCACGAATATTCATAACCAATAATAATAAAAAAGCACTTCCTAGCCCTTTCTGGATTTTGTGTGTACTGGGGCTTGAATGTCACACAACAGAAAGTTTAAATGCTGAATTTACAGCTTTAATCTAGAGAATGAAAGCTTGCTGTAGCTTGTGTCCTGAAGAATGCTAAAGACCAATATGAGAACCAAGGGGAGTAAGGGGAGTACCTATCCATCTTTTTTCCTCTTAGAAATAGAAAGAGCTCATGTCCCTTGAACCTCACTCAGAAGAATCATCCATATTTGCTGTAAGTGAACAGAGAGATTTTGGCAATTCTCAAAGACGTGTTGTCTAAATTCATTAATTAAAGTTTTAAATACTTTTAATCACACTTAATAACATAATATTAAGTCCTCTCCTAAGCTTTTGTTTTCATTCTTTCAACAAATACTCACTGAGCTCCTTCCAGCTGCTGGGCACTGTCCTAGGTCCTGGGGATTGAATGGTGCCCACAAACAGAAAAGTCCCACCCACAATGGAACTGTAGTCAGACAAACTGGTCAAACAATTAAATGAGTAAATAGGAAATTGCATCTGCAACAAGGGCCACAAAGAATAGTGAGAATCTGAAAAAGTAAAATACAGCCCTGAAAAAAATAAAATAAGGACTGACATAATCAGGAAGGATAGGGGACGCTTCTCTGAACATGATCATTGAGGTGAGCCCTGAAGATACAGTAGGGTAGAGACTACCCCAGGCCGTGATGGAAGGACCAGGTATCCATTTTTCACTCGGGATCTTGTTCCTCTTAGGCAGAGAAAATGTCAGGTCCAAACATGGGTTTCCAGGAAAAGCAAAGCATAAAGGATCTGGGCATACTGTGTGCCTCATTTTCCTCGAATACAGATGAGCTCTTCTCCACCCCTTCCACGGAGGCATTGCACACAGGCTGGCCGTCCTCGGGCACTCTTATTTCAGCATGTGCTCCCTGCCTCCACTGCAGGCAGTTGCACACTCAGTACCACTGCCTATGAAAAGAACAGCGACTCACTCCTTCTTAGGGCAGTAGGTAAATACAGCTGCTGTCCCAAGTATTACAGGAAAATAATTTGCATCATTAGTTTGGGTGGGATGCTTCTGGGTTTTGACTATCTCTCATTAGAGAAATTTCCCCAGGGTGGACACAGTGTTTTCTGCTCCAAAAGCCAAGTAGGAAGGGACCAATTCCACCCTTCCTTCCTCTCCTGCCTGTCCCTCCCCTTCTCCCTTCTCTGACATCCTTGTAACTCACTCACTAAGTCCCATCAGCTGGTTCAGATGGCTGAGATAGTATATGTAAGAGAGAAAGAGACATTTCAAATTGTGACACTTCGAGTCTCACTTATTCCTGAGATACCAGAAAAAAAGGCAGCATCAGCTTCAAGCCTCACCATTTTTTTTGAAGTAACAAAGAGCTAATGGGTTGGAGCCATTTCTTGAATCAGAGAGTAAACAAGCATCATTAAATTCAATGGGATACCTATTAATTTATAAATGAACAGAGAATATTACCTCAAGTCAAGTGTATAGCAAGGCTCCTGGGCCAGAAACCACATAAAACCCATCCCTTAATTCTCCCGCACACTTCACCTTTACACACGTGCCTAATAGATTCTACTGTTTCTCAGAGAAAGGAGTTTGAGAGGTGAAGGGGCCGACTTCATTCAAAAGAAATTGCTGTGATGGAGACTCCTGCGAAGACCTCTTGCTCTCTTCTCCCACACACTGTTTCTCTACATTTCTCTTTCTCTGCATCTCTCTCCTTTATCTCTTTTGTCTCATCCATTCCCTTACTTCTCCCACCTCTGCTGTCACCTCTCATATTCATCATCCTGCTTGCTTTCCTTAGCATGGTCATATATTCATTCACTCCCTACACGTTTATCAAAAGCCTTTGACGTACCAGGTATGCTAGGCTCAGAGGATATAAAATGAGAGAGACATGGTCACCACCCTCATGAAGTTTGCATTCCAATGAAGAATTGTTCCATAAGTATATGCACAAAAAGTAAACCGATAAACAAATAAAATAATTTCAAATTGTGATAAGATTTATAATGGAGACACAAATGCAGTAGACAAATATGAGGATGAGAGGCAAACAGGTGTGTCATCTAGCCCAGGGATTCTTAACCTCTTCTGTGCCATGGACCTCTCTGGGGTTTGGTGAAAACTGTTGATTCCTTCTGAGAGCAGTTAATGAAGTTATTTTAAATACATAATATAATATACATGGAATTACAGATAAGGCAATTATACTAGAATATAGTTCTAGTCACACATCTCTTGGGAGTCCACTGACTCCAGGTTAGATTCTTTGTAAGACATCTTACAGAGTTTGGATATTATTTTAGGTAGACTAGGAGGTGATAATAAGATTTTAATCTGAGGAGTAACATGGTGTGGCTTATGTTTTTAAAAGATCACTGATGTTACTGCATGGAAAGAGATTTCATGGAGCTACTAGTGGAAGCAGGGGAGCACTTAGAAGGCAACTGCACTGTTGCAGGAAAGAGATGATCCTAGCTCGGACTTGGAGAGCAATTGTGGAAAAGACCGTTTCTAAGAACGTCACCTAGAATCTGTCTATGAAGGAATATGCATCTCCTAAGGAGTGAAGAAAGAGACTGGAAAGGAAGAATAAATTAGTGTTTTTCTCTTCCTACTTCCTCAAGGTTCCCCTCAATCCTCTGAAGGCTTCCTTAGTTATACCAGTTTAGTGATCTTCTGAAATTTGCAGCTTATAGCCCACAAAACACGTAAAAAGATTTCTTTATACTTACCGGTTGCAAATATGTTTCCAGTAAACCTTAAAAGAAGTTGTTCTCCTTCTCTCACTTGGAAATGACGAGATGACTCTGGAGGTCCCCCAAACCCTTCCAAGCGCAAGTTCTTAAGTGCCTGGTTTAAATCTTTAGAAGGCACCACTACAATAGCGACTCTGTGTGGATTGTCCTTCTGGTGAGACAGCACTACGCAGGCGGTGGTGCTGAGTGTGGCTTCCTCTAAAGATTTCACAAAAGAAACCAAATGGTTATTGTCCACAACAGGAGAGAGGTGAAGCACAATAAACCTGCATGGAAGAAAACAAGCAAGAGCTGAGGGGAAAATACAGCCTCAGAAACATCACTGATATCAAATATCATCCAAGAAAACAGCCACTATCAGCAAAATTTACTTTAAAATCAAGGATTCTGATGACTAACTTGTCAGACTCATGAATGACTGAAGTGAAACTCTTGGCAGTCAAGAAACCAGCTTAAACAAGCTTAAACTAAATTCTAAATCAGAATTTAGCTGGTTTCTTAAACAAAGAAATGGTACAGTCTCAGCTGAGCTGTAAATATGGCAGCATAGGGGGCTTCTGGTCAAGCCGGTGTAATAAACAGTCCCCAGCATCACTCTCTCCCACAAATCAACCAATTTACAACTATTAAAAAGCAACAACAGCCAAACTGGGACCGCTAGAGCTCAGGGGGAGAGGACAAGAGACCTACAGAGTGCATGAGGGAAGGAGAAGCCATGATGAGAGAAAGAAAAAACCACTCTGACTATTTTCGAGCCCCGGCCATGTCTAGGCTGGAGCTGCTGAGTGCACAGAGCAGGAGCCAGCAGAAGCCACAGCTGTGCCCTTCAGATGGAGTTGCTTGGAGGCAACAGGTGAAAAGAGGGCCTTGGTGGCCCCCAGGACAGCAAGACCACTAATAGGGTTCCTGTGGACCCACATAGGAGTGAGGAGCCAGAACAATTGAAAAAAAGGAGCCACTCAGAGGCCAGTTTGTCACCGCAAGAGACTGGCACAGGTCCCATCCCATGGGAAGTGTTTGGAGCATGGGTGGTGGGGGAGACGGGCCCACTGGGGAACACTGGGGCACAGCAAGGACAGCTGATCTGTCCCCCAAGCAGCATAGGACCACTCAGTGGAGATTGGTCAGGAATATAGAACTGCAGGGGGTGCAGTTGTGAAAGACTCAGGCCCAGACCAGAGTGTCCACACAACCCAGGTGCACCAGATCTCACAAGAGCCAGAAGTACCTATAAAGTCAATCCTTAAAACGTGAGCTCCACAAAAAGCCTTCCCCAAGGAATCAGCAGCAAAGCAGCAATTTAGCTCAACCACACAGTTCAATTACTGGTCCCCACAGGAAGTTCTCCCATTTTAGAAGTAAGCAAAGGACAACAAATTAGTTCCAGTGCAGAGTTGAAGTGGTGGGAACAGCAAATAACCCAACACAGAACTGAAAGAATAAAACAAAATACCCACAACTAGAGACAAAGTTTGATATTAACTAGCAAAGTTTTCACATCATTACAGAACACCTATAACACCTACATGGACCGGAAGTCCACGGAGCTACCAAGCCATGGAAGGGGGAGGGCTCCTGGCCTCAGCCATGCCCTCTGACACCCACAACCGGTCCCAAGGGTGGGGGCCTCGGGCCTTGGCCACACCCCACGACATGCCCAAAGCCCAGTGAAGACCACCAAGCCACAGCAGGAAGCAGCCCGGGCTGCCCCAGGCCAGGGTGGTGAGAATCCAAGGGCCTCGGCCACACACTCCTGCCATCTGCAACCAGCCCAGCAAAGACTACCAAGCTGCCACAAGAAGTGTCCTGGGCTTCTGAGCTGGGGTGTTAGGGGGCTAGGGCTTTAACCACAGCCCCCTGACATCTGCACCCAGCCTGGCAATGACCAAGCAACCACTGGAAGCCACCTGGTCTCCCCTGTGGGAATGAGGGGGGCACCACAGGCTTCAATCCCACCCCTCCTCCTTCCTCCTTCTTCCACCCTATTTCCTTCCCTTTCCCCTGCCCTCCAACTGCTTCACAACAGAATATAAAAAATATATATTAATTGGGCCAGCCCCGTGGCTCACTCGGGAGAGTGAGGCCCTGGTAGCACTGAGGCCGCGGGTTTGGATCCTATATAGGGATGGCCGGTGCACTTGATGGCTCAGCATGGTATGGACAACACCGTGCCGAGGGTCGCGATCCCCTTACCGGTCAAAGAAAAAAAAAAAAAAAATATATATATATATATTTATATATAAATATATATATATATATATAAATTAATAAATTTTTTAAAAAGGAAAAAGAAATATAGTAGCATATTTTAAGTTATATATTAAGCAGCTTTGTCAAAGAGTATTACTGCAAAATACAGAAGAGAAAGATGATCTACATAGTCCATATACTCCCAATAGGATGCACAATGTACACCATAATTAAGTGGGGATTGAAATATGTATCACTGTCACTGTGTGGTAAAGATTGTTCTAATGGACCCTGCTATGGATTTGAATTGTGCCCCCCCATTCATATGTTAAAGCACTAACCCCCAGTACCTCAGAATGTGACTTTATTCAGAGACAAGGTCTTTACATAGGTAATCAAGTTAAAGTGAGGACCCTGATCCAGTATGACTGGTGTCATAAAAAGGGGAAATTTAGACTCAGAGATAGGCACACAGAGAGAATACCATGGGAACATAAAGATGGCCATCTACAAGCCAGGGAGAGAGGCCAGGACAGATCTTTCCCTCAAAGGGTATCAATCCTGCTAGCACCTTAATTGTGGACTACGAGCCTCCAGAACAGTGAGACAATACATTTCTGTAGTTCAAGCCACCCAATTTGCAGAACTTTGTTGCAACAGTCCTGGACTAGTACAAATCTCCCCCTGGGCTCGGCCTACAGGAGCCACCTCCCCCAGGGCAGCCCCACACCCACAGACGATGACTGGCAGATGTGGGGTGTACAGCCAGCCTCCCTGCACTCACACTGCAGAGCTCCCCTGAGGTGTCAGGCCGAGGAAGACGTCAGCTGAAACCACAGTTTCTCCCACTGCCCCCCTTGCCTACATTCTTCTTTCATCCCCTTACAGGATTCTCCTAAGATCCCTCCCTCAATAAGTCACTTAAATTCTCATCTCAGACTGTTTCTGTAGAATTTGATCTGAGACCATCATAGATGTAAGATCTTCCTTTATGAGTGTCTACTCCTCATGAGCCTTAAATCTGTCTAACTCTTCTCATAATGAACTGTCTAGAAAACATGGAAATGAGAAGGTAAAATGAGGGCACTGAAATAACAAATTCGGTTTATATAGACATAGTTACGAGATGAGCATAATACGAATGGTTAATTACTATCTCCATGGAATTTCAAAAATGAAGGTGCTATTTTAAAACTATTTTGGAGTTAGAAGGAACCTATAAAAATAAACCTAAGCTAGGAGTGGTTCCAAAAGTACTTGTTAAATTATCACAAATGAAATTAGAGGTAGCATATTCGTGTCAATTCTGGTTTGCATTTTAAGCACACTCTAAAGGATAGTTCCTATTCCTATTTGAGGATAGGAACTAATCCTACAATTCCATTTCTTTAAATATCAATTGTGGACCACCAGGAGAGAATACCTTCAACTTTGATTGTTGACTATTGTTATTACCTCTCTAAATGTTCATACAATTCAAATGATATCAAGCCACTCTGCACGGTTCTCAGTACCACATTATCAAGCCCAAACCAACCACTGTCTCGACTTCTGAATCCCAGTAATTTCAAAGATTCACAGGCATTTTTTCCAGGATTTCTTATGGAAGTGCTTTTTGTCCTGTAAAATGGTAACAGAAAAGAAATTGGTAAAATTTACATAGCATAAATCCTATTTAGTTCACTCATTCTTTCATTAAGTGGTATATCCAACTACAATTAATCAAGTATATAATATGTGCCAGTAATTATGCTATGTACATAGAATACAAAGATAAGAGATATACTCATAAAGCCCTCGCCCTACAGAAGTTCACACTATCAGAGTATTATCTAATTACAGTACAAGGTGATCTGTGTGGTAATTAAAGGAATGCACAGGATGGTTTAAGAGCAGAAGTGAGGTGCTCAGGGAAACTGCAAAGTGAAAATGCTGATATTTGAGATGAGTTTTGGAGAATAAGAAGCATTTAACTACTGGCAAAAGAAATTTGAGAGAACACTCCAAAACATTAATAAACTCGCTAATTTAAACCTGGATGCTTTAGGGTAGCCAAGAGTGGTCGTTTAGCATAATAGGTAAGACCACAGACGGTGGAGTATAACTGCCCAACCTCAAATCCTGGGTGGCCCTGCCGCTTCTTAAATGTATAACCATAGCCGAGTTATTTCATTTCTCTGTATTTCAGCTTTCTTATCTATAATATGAGAATAATAGTAGTAACTACATCATAAGGTTAAATTAGTTATTTTTTGTAAAGAACTTATAATTGTATTGAGTATAAGTGGCATTAATATTATCTTAATTCCTACAGCAGGCATAACCAATTAGCTTTCCTGTACAATTTTCTTCTTGGTTATCCTGTCCCACCTAAAGGCCCTGAAAGAGGCAGTTGTATATACCAGGTGATACTTTTCCACAATCACAGCTGATTTAACAGTAGACCAATTTTCAATGGTCAGACAATTTGGTTCTGTTTCTTTAGAATTTGAGGACCAGAGACTGTCACTTGTCACTGTCTCTTGGCTGTGGTGCCCTGGACTATGAAAATTAATAAACAAAGAGATTAAGAAAGAAAAAATAGGTAAGAGAGAAAGGGAAAAAATCAAGAAGAAAGAATGCATTTCATTTTAGAGATGGAGAAAGCATAGATTAACTATCGTAGCCTTACAATAAACTTTTTTCTTGAATTTATTTAGGTGGATATCTATTTCTCACAACCAAAGGAAAAAAAGTCTTTCAATTGAATATCTAGGGAAAAGAATTCTCGGCCCAATGATGCTACATCCCACAAGGAGACAACCATTCTTCTCAAGTACTAAGAATGAAGATTCAAGTGTCAATTTCACACTTTTATTTGTAAATAGACTAGAACTATGGGCTTAAAATCACCTTAGTTTCACAGGTTGAGCTGTCCTATGACTCATAGATTAAGAACTGAGCTAGATTTTAAATGTCTTCCCTGAAAACTTTGTGATCTGTATTGGTTACTTCAGGGAATCAACCAGATTAAAATCAGGAGTATAGGGGGAAAAAATAACATTTGGCTGTTGGGTTATAACCACAGATATGGTGAATTTTGTAGCCCTTGTAAGTTAATAATTTATTCACACAGGAAGATAAACTCATAATGAATCGAGAACATTGGCCATTTACTAGAAATTGACTTAATTAAATGCAATGTTGAATTTTTTTTTCCTGATAGCAACCCTTCACTTTTTTTTTGCCAACAGCCTAAATTTTCTGTGGGGACCTACAGGCTCCCAAGTTTGGTGTTTCTGTTTCTACTCCCAGGTCCAGGTGAACATAAAACCTAAGCCAAATAGTGCATTTGGTATTCATTAGTGTTGTTCACCAAAAAATCCAATTTTCCCTTGTCTGAGTATGTAATAGGGTTGTACCTCCTGACCCCTATGATTGAATAGGGGGGGCATGTGATTAGTTCTGGCTAATGAATTGTGAATGAAAGAAACGTGTCACTTTGAGACCAAGCATTTAATTGCTAATGTGGGCCTACCCAAAGGTCTTTCTTCTGCCACGATAACAACAACCAGACAGTGGCTGCTCTGTCAGCCGAGGTCCTGGAGTGAGGATGACCAGAACCTTTGATGGCCTCGCAGTACATGGGAGATACAAAGACTGTTGTTATAGCCCTTGGGATTTGGGAGTTTTGCTATCCTGGCATACCCTCAGCTAATCTGCACTGTGTAGTTTATCTTCTTTCTGGTTCCAGTGATCTAGTCAGTGATGGGTTTGTGACAGATTTGGAGGGAGAATCAGACCTTGGGCTTTTATGCATATTCATGAGGAAAAGAAGCTTCCTCTTTTCCACCTATCTTGGAGCTATGAAGATGTATCCATGTTGCTAGCATGAGGGACAAGCATGTCAGAGAATGGAATTGTCACAGAGGAAAGCAGATAGAGAAGAGAAATTGGATTGTTTCTGGTTCAAGGAAAAATGTAAAGATAGATATATACCCAGATTTTTAATTTATGTAGACCAAAGAATTCATTTTTTGCTTAATACTGGGTTTGCTTTTCTGTCACTTAAATCAAGAGTCCTTAATGACAAAAAGATCAAACTTAGACTTTAATATGATAATAGACATAATCCATATTCAAATTAAATTATCAAATAGTATACTTGTGTCTCCCAGCTGTTAACAGCTCTGAAACTAAACTATTTCCTTTACATGAAGGCACTTCAAGAAGTTCATGGAAAAATAGAATTAAGATAATATGAATATTTCCATGAACTTTTTGAAGTGCCTTCATATATGCTATGAGCAAAGTTTGACAACTAGTGTTATCTAGCAGTGAGTTGCACTTAATCAAACTCCACCAAAGACAACATTTTGATGTAATAAAAATTCTATAATATATAGTAAACCTTTATTAAAACAATTAGTTTATTCAAGAATAGTCAAATTCTGCTTGGGACTCACCCAGACAGAAGTAAGACAGAGGATACTGATTAAAATGTGCATGCTAGGGCCGGCCCGGTGGCGCACTGCTATAGTGCGCCGCTTGGGAAGCGCGGTGGCGCTCCCGCCGAGGGTTCGGATCCCACATACAGACTGGTTCCCGCTCACTGGCTGAGCGAGGCGCGGGAGCATCACCAAGGGCTGCGATCCCGTTGCCGGTCCCGGTGCGCACTGCTATAGTGCGCCGCTTGGGAAGCGCGGTGGCGCTCCCGCCGAGGGTTCGGATCCCACATACAGACTGGTTCCCGCTCACTGGCTGAGCGAGGCGCGGGAGCAACACCGAGGGTTGCGATCCTGTTGCCAGTCCCGGTCCGGTCCGGGGGCGACACTGAGGGTTGCGATCCGTTGCCGGACACGGAAAAAGACAAAAAAAAGGAAAAAAAAATGTGCATGCTATTTTATCTGTGGAATGAATAAAATATGATGCAGAATTTGACAAGCAATTATATCATTAAAATTCTCATATTTTAGTTTTAGAACATTCTCTTTGTGATATGCATAATACATAGGTATTTAAATGTGAATGTCATTAATGTTTTAGGATTAACTTTTTCTCAGAAAACTATACTTTAGTTATTAAAGTACTAACTTTAAATGGTATTCTGCACCCAAAAAGCTAAAATTTTTCTCATTATAAGTTATGCATGTTGATTATAGAACTATTTTAAAAATGAAAGTAAATGGAAGAAGAAAGTACACACAGTCTCATTGATTAGAGCCAAATACTGTAATACATTGATGAACTTCTGGTAGTTTTTTTTTTTTTCTATGTAGTTTTTCATTTGGTTTGTAAAGTGGTGACCATATTCCATGCCAAATTGTATACACTAATTTTAACATTTGTAACCAATGTAATCACCTTTGGCTATCAACTTAATGACATGGGATCTTCATCACATCACTGAGATAAAAGTTCTCTCCTGATTCAATTATCCTTTTCAACCATAGACTCATAAGTTCTTGGAGCTTTGGCCCAGTCCACGGTGTCATTAGTCCTGGCTACAGTCACGAAGCAAAGATAAAAGACTGCATGATACCCTATGCAGTCCCCAGTCTTCATGCATGAGCCGTGTTCTTTTCTGCTTTGCTGATATTGCTGCCTCACTGTTGACAACAGAGGATTCCTGGTGTTCTGATGCCATGCTGCTCCACTGGTGTGTTTACTAGCACATGCCACTATTCCAGCAGCGGTTTTTCACAATGTAAAAGGGAAAAATTAGAAAACTCTCCCCCCACTGTTATGCTTACATGTAATTCAGGCATTTCACCCTGAGCTTGCACTCCAATGATACTGTACCTCACTAGACCCACTCACCCTGGCCCCAACATACACACACAGTCATTTTTCCAAAGAAATATCCACAGTGCTAGACATTTCCTGTACTTTGTGCACAGCTTGCTTTGTTGAGAAGCCTAGGTCACCCATTCAAATTCCCTTCTCCTTTGCGCTGTCTTTTCTTGCCAGCTGACCTCAGAATATTCACCTCAGCCCAAGAGAAATGTTTCAATAATGTTGCACCTCAGGAAAAAAAAAGGAGAGATGACTTCAATCTCTTCCCTCAGAAGGCTCTGTTTCCACTCTGTACATTTGCCCATCTATCCTCTGGGATGATAAATTCCATACACCAAAGAGTATACGGATAATTTAGATGTATTAGTTAAGACTCTTTGGGATACGAGTAACGGAAAGACAAATTCATTTTATTTAATTATAAGTAATACTTGTTTGAATTATAATAATACTTGTTTGTTAATGGAGCAAACAGACAAATGTGGAGGGCCTCAGATGAAAACTGTATCTGGAAGTCAAATGTAATCTTTATTTCTCTTCTTTGCATTTTTTTTCCCTCTATTACTCCTGATCATCTTTGTCCAACTGGTAGAAAACATGGCTATTAACAATTCCTGAGTTTTATATCCTGAAATAGAATCTGTCCAAGAAACTGACCCTGTTATTTCTTGAGTCCAGGACTCTTCCTATGTCCACAATTCCAAGCATTAAGGAATTATGATCATCCCATTTAGGGGCAATCATTTAATTATAAGGAGGACATCGATGAACATAAAAGTTTCCATTGGGTCCACATGGATAAAAATGATAACTTCCAGAAATTGTAGTACAAGTCCCCAAAATTAATTAAGACAAAGCAATAGATATACACTCCAGGCTGCATTTTCTCAAGTCTAACAGTGCCTTGTTACATCTTACCCACATAAAGGCCTTAATGCCACACAAGGAATACTCAAAAGATTTTTCTCAAGATAAAATTTTTGGTATGCTACCTTCAAGTTTAACAAATAAAAGTCTTATTTGCTAGTAAGCATGTGTTTCAATGTTTTAACAAAACTATTTTCCTCTATTCAATGAGATTTGCCTGTGTTGAAATGTAGCACTGACTGATAAGCACAAAGGAAGATATGGTATGTGTGATGTTACTATATAAAATTACTATTTCTTTCTTACATTGTCTCTCTAAAATATTATAAATTTAATAAATAAAACACAATTATAAATAACAAATTGAGAATAAATACTATGAGGAACCTCACCTCCTAATGCAAAACAACTAGATTCTGATAAATATGCTTTCTGATACATATTTTTTGACTTGCATAAGTAGGGGAAATCTTAAAGGAATTCCCCAAACTTCCCTCCAGAAATGTACAAAGTCAGGGTTGCGGCTGAGGGAACAACCAGACAAGAATGATGGGATTACTATGAGGACAAATGCCTTCCCAATAATTTAGATACAGGAGTATGCAACTATAAGCAATAATCACATAAGCAGAACATGAAGCTCTCAATCCTTGGGATCATAGCCATATAGGAAATGTGAACTTGAGACCTTCACCAAGACTCTCAAGGAGGCTAAAGTAGTCTCAGTTAAGGAGCAGCTGGTTCTCAGCAGAGGCAGAAACAAATGCCATCTGGAAGAAAACAGTTCTGTTTTATGCCTGCAGAAATTTCATATATACCTGCTCACAAATAAAAGTTCCCAAACAAATGAGGAGATAAATACCATGAATGACAGTCAATGGAAGCAACAGGCAACAGATATAAACACTCCAAGGATGGAAAGTACAGGAATTAGTAAATACAGGATGAAAACAACTGTATATGAAAAGTTTAATAAAAATGAAGGACAGCATTACAAAAATAAATCAGCAGCAAGAGACTCTCAAAAACAATTAGGGAGATTTGAATAAGAGCTAAATATAACTTTCAGAAATAAAAAATACAATTGGTAAAAACAATAACATAATAGATTAATGAGTTTTAAAGTATACAGTATTTTTGGCATTTTGAACTGGAATGTGAAGAAATTGCTCAAAATACAACACACAGAGACAGGGAGATGGAAAATACAGAAGGGAAGTAAAGAAATATGGAATTTAGAAAGAGGCAGTTTAATATACATCTAAGGGAAACCCATAAGTGCAGAGTGGATAAAATGGAGAAGAGTTATTTGATTAGAAAGCACATAAAATTTTTTTAGAAATGTGAAAAGGCATAAATCCATTTACTCAGAAAGCACAATCTATTGTAATCAGAAAAAGTTTTTAAGGTTCACATCTAGATATATCATAGGTAACTGCAGAATACTAAGTACAGAGAAAAAACCTTAAAAGCAGCCAGCAAGATAAACGAGACCACCCATAAAGTTATGAAAACTGTATTCACTGCAGTCTTCACAATGTCTATGATGAAATCCATAAAGAGTGAAACACTATCCCCAAAGAGATGAGAAAAAAAAATCACTGTCAAACTAGAATCTTATGCCAAATGTGTTCTCCAAAGACAACCCCAGTGAACTATGCTCTCAGTATTCATGCCCTTGTCTAGTACGCTTGCACAACGAACTACAGCCAGCTCTGTGACTCACCTTTAACCAGTAGAGTGCTGCAGAAGAAGACATATAGGAATAAATTCAAGTACATGTGATCAAACAAATAAGTAAATAAAAGCAAAGGAATGATTTAAACTTTCAGAATACTGGTTAACTTCAGTGGGCTGAGGAGCAACTGTGGTGGGAAGGAAGGGGATGGTATAGGAGAGGGGCAGGTAAAGAGATGCAATTTTATTGATAATATAATTTCTTAAATTATATAGCAGCTTTACCAGTTGTCCATTTTATTATGTGACATGATTTACATAGAATTTGCAAATATTCTTGGGTATGATTCACATATTACATTTGAATGAGACAACTTTAAAAACAATAGATAATGTCATTTTTCACAGGCAAAAAAACATTTTCTTATCTAATAATCTAAAGTATTTCTTGTATAATATGGAATGTTTCTGTTTAATATATTATTTTTCCACTTTCATTGCTGTTGAGAAATCTTTTCTGACTCATAACTAAATGACTCTCATCTTTTCCCCCAAAATCACTCAGACATGAAGGAATGTAATACAATACAGACTTTTTATTTGTAATATTTGGACTATGCTTTGCCTCAAATAACTTTTATCTTTTTTTATTTCATAAGACATGAATTGCTTCGTTGTGTTTTTGTTTCCACAGAAAATGTTCAACTGGCTTTCACATAAATATAAATTATGTTTAATCCATTTATATTTATTGTCATAACTAAGGATTGTATATACTTCATCTTGTTTAAGCTTTCTCATGAATAGATTCATGTCATTATGCTGTTTTCTTGTTTCCTTTCTATCTCTCTGCCATAAAAACTTTTACTTCTGTCTTTTTTCCTTTTATATTATTTATACGCAATATCAGATTTTTAAAAAAATAAGAATAAGACTTTCCTGTTCTTGATAACTCAAATTTCATCTCGTTAAGTCAGTCCATTATTTTTATCTATTTATCTATTCATTTTGTTAAGAGCATGTGAGTAACAGAGAAAGGAGAACACTTCTACAATGCTGGTGGGGCTGTGAATTAGCACAGCCATTATGGAAAACAGTATGGAGGTTTCTCTAACAACTATAAACAGATCTTCCATATGATTTGGCAAATCCCACTACTGGGTATATACCCAAAGGAATGGAAATCATCATGTTGAAGGGACACCCTGCACTCCCGTGTTCATGGCAGCTCTATTTACAGTAGCCAAGATATAGAACCAACCTAAGTGTCCTTTGACTGGATAGGGAAAATGTGGTACGTATATATAATGGAATACTACTTAGCTATTAAAAAGAATAAAATTCTGCCATTCAGAGCTACATGAATGAGCTTGGACAAAATTGTGTTATGTGAAACAAGCCAGGCACAGAAAGAGAAACACAGCATGTCCCCCTCACTCATAAATAGGAGCAAAAATATAGCAGCCTCTCAATTAATAGTAGTTATTATTTCAATTAAGTGTCTCAAATTTTTTCACCTTTTGATTTTCCAAAGGAAAAAATAATTTTCCTTCAGAACCAAAGAATAGAAAGATTCCTTCTTCTTCTATTAGGAAAAAAAGGTAAGTATTAAATAAAAGGATGGGAATTAGGAGGAAGATCCCTATCATTCTGTGTACCATATTTGTTGTTAGATTTCATTTCTGGTTTTATTTCTGGCTGGTAACTTAATATGTATATTTGTCTTATTGGTGGGGATTTCACTTAATTCTAAAAATTAAGAGAAGGAATCTACCTATATGGCAAATATAAATTCAAATTTAATTGGTTTTGTAAAATAACAGGTTGGTCTCTTTTCTACAATAACAGAACACTTTTAAATATAGAAATTAAAACCACCATTTCACATCTTTGTAACTAACCATATCATACATTTTTTAAAAGGATTAATTTTACCTCTTTCAAATCAATCTTATCAAATAAGCACAATCTGGGGCCCATTACAGCTAAAATCATTAACTTTTCTAAACCCATAACATTTTATTTCTAGATTAAAGATGTTTCTTAATATTTCCATACAAGACATTTGATTAGAATTTTTAAATATTTACATTTCTTTGTTTACCATTAAGCCATTTAGCAATACTAGGATCTTACTCACCGGTTGAAATATAAAGGTGTGATCCTGTTTGTTGTGGCACTAGCTGTTCTTTTATGATCTATGTCAGACCCAAAATTGTTTTTATCAGGGTGTGGAGAACAAGGTAGGAATACAGTGACTGGCTTCTGAAAGGGATGGGTTGATGGGTGCTGAACATGAATCAGAGGACTTGTGGATAGGACTGAGTATGAAGTGTCTTGCTTGGTTTTTAAATATGCCACCAGAGATGGGTCAACTGGCTGGATCTAAACAAAGAAAAAGTGTACACATTCTTATATTTTAGTAGCAAAAAATGCAAAATATTAACACATTTCTAAGCCGATTTTTTGAAAATTTTATAGAGATTAGTTTTACACATTTCTCTATGCATTGTTAACTAGAATCAACACTGCACTTTTATAATAAAAGAGCACAGCATTTGGGCCCCTTTTTACAAAATGTTTCTGAAATTTGGGTTTTCTGTCCTATGTTATAAATGACTGAGAAATGTTCTTAACTTGTAAGCAACATAATGACCTAGAAAATAAAACAATTTCTTTTTTTTTTTTTTTTTTTTTTTTTTTTTCCGTGTCCGGCAATGGATCGCAACCCCCAGTGTCCCCCCCGTACCGGACCGGGACCGGCAACGGGATCGCAACCCTCAGTGTCACCCCCGTACCGGACCGGGACCGGCAACGGGATCGCAACCCTCGGTGTTGCTCCCACGCCTCCCTC